TGCGGAACGTGTTGCACTCTTGGATGAGCAGGGCTTCGTTTGGAGTTGCGCTAGAGTCCAATCATGGGAAAGCTGGTACGACACATTGCGGCAGTACAAGGAAGAACATGGGAACGTACAGGTGCGTCACAAATACAAAACTGCAGATGGTTACAGCCTTGGAATGTGGGTCAGGAGACAGCGTAAAGCAAAATCAATATGCAAATTGCCCGCAAAACGCGTTGCTCTCTTGGATGAGCAGGGCTTCGTTTGGAGTTGCCGTAGAGTCCAATCATGGGAAAGCTGGTACAACAGATTGCGGCAGTACAAGGAAGAACATGGGAACGTACTAGTGCCTCACAAATACAAAACTGCAGATGGCTACAGCCTTGGAACGTGGGTCACAACACAGCGCGGGGCAAACGCAAGAGGGGAATTGGCTGCGGAACGTGTTGCACTCTTGGATGAGCAGGACTTCGTTTGGAGTGTTCGAGGAAAGAGGAGTGATGTGCCATATCAGTGAGTTGGTTCAGGATTTGCTGGCTACCTTTCGCTTAGGAGAAGATTGACATGCTGTTGGCCTAACTCTGCCGGTCAGAGTCCGAAGAAAACAGGTTGTTAATATGCATGGCCAAACTGGTCTGGTATTTTGCATGCCTTCTTTGTTGAACACATGTACAACAATAAAGGTCCTACTCGAGGGTCAAAGGTCATTTGAACCCAACTTTGTGCAGCCTACTGACTGGCGTGACATGAACCATTGATTAGGGCAAGGGAGGCTGTCCACATGATGATTGGCACCCCGGGCGTGAACTAGTGTTGATACTCACGACAACTCCCAAGGTCACCGAACGTGAACTTTTCTTGGAGATTAGGACATGTTGATATGTCCCTTGTAAATTTATGGTTCATCATGGTTCATCTCCTTCCTCAGACGTGCGCACTTACCAGCAGCAGAATGCTTCTGCGGGCTCGACAAATCATATTGCGGGGGTGTGTCAACTGAAAATTCAGCTCTTTCAGCTGAGTCCACCCATAGATTTGGGAGCTTGGACCAGCTTTGATGTCCATACTTCCATTTGCTGCACGAGAAACACACATGTGGCTGACAACTGTATTATACAGTTATACATCAAGACAGGAAATCTCCCACCTGCAGTGATTCTGTAGAACTGACAGCTGCAGAATTTGCGGTCTCAGTTCTCGCGACTGACCTCCGCCGAGCCGACGCTGAGGCGCCAATTGGCACGACACCTGGATGTTTGGCTCCATTTGCGTCCTCATCGTCTTCCAGGCGACCGAACTCCGGGGCGGTCCACAACAGCATTCGCGGCTGTCGCGTGAAGAAGTAGATTGGTGTTGATGGGGTGGCCAGGGTGGTAGGGCGTTTTACATCGTTTTACAATGGAAGCCGAATGGAAGCCTCGTTTCGTTCGGGTTGGGGAGAATGGTGTAGATGTTTGGCCGCTTAATAAAAGCAAGAACATGATTGGAAGATGTTGAGAATACTTAATGGCTGGAAAGGGATTTTGCTTTTGCAATTGATGGTCTTCAAGCGAGGTTTCCGGTGCTGAGTGCATGATCGAAGGGTGAGAATTGAAGGTGGGGAAGGGATACAAGTTAAACGAAACGATCAGGATTTGAAACCAATATATAGCTTGTTCCAATTCCATGCCTCTCATTTTGCTTGCGCACCGGAGAATCTAAGAAACAAACTGACTCACTTGGAAGGTGGAGGTCTGTTGCCGAGAAACCACTTTCAGCAAAAATTCCTCGTTGTCCAACGCATTGTCTACAGTCAGTTTGTTTCGTGGCCTTTTGCAACACCTCTTTTGGAATCTTTGGGTTGGAAGAACTAGGATTCATGAATCTACAGCCCACCCACCCCAGGTATGACATGGATTGACATGGTATTATGGACATGCCCCAATGTAAAGGTCCACAAACCATTTTCGAAGACACTGACAACAAAAGGGGTAGTTCGAAACCTCATAATAACTGCTCTGAAGCAAGAAACGCATCCCTTGCATTCTAACTCCTTTGGGCTTTTCGTTTTCATCCGCGTGGCCATTTGCACAGGTGGTCAGGGCAGTGGCAGCCATGGGGCCACTTGGCGATCGCCAACTGGAGGGATCCAATGAGTGTCACACACCAGTTATTAACATCACAGCTTGATACATTTGGAGAGTACCAGTAAAGCCTGAGGCTCCTGCATACAGGTTTTAAGAGCCTTATTGGTGGGCTCTCGTTGGGAGCTAGCAGGCCTTGGGAGTCTTCTTCGCATTGACAGCAGTTCTCACTAACATTGGGGGCACTGTACAAAAAGCAACCCATGGGTGTGTGAGTGTTGCAAAAGTAAAGTGGAATGCCCGAACCAATGGGTGTTCATCTACCGGTTTTCTTCCCAAATGGTCGTGACAGAGAACCCAGATGTCCCTTTGTACCCTCCAACTCCCTACGATGGAAGTGGACAATGGGCCCCTGGATGACCAATTTTCTCTACACACAGGTTTCTTTCCACTTCCATGTTAGTGAGCCGGAATGTATTTAGACTCCAACATGACCGGGGCAGCAGCTCCAGTTGGAAGAATTGGTTGTTGGTTGGTCGGTTGTTTATTTTTGGTTGGTCGGTTGGGTTGGTTGGTTGGTTGGCTGGTTGCTTGGTTGCTTGGTGTCTTGGTCGCTTGGTCGCTTGGTGGCTTGGTTGCTTGCTTGGTTGCTTGCTTGGTTGCTTGCTTGGTTGCTTGGTTGCTTGCTTGGTTGCTTGCTTGGTTGCTTGCTTGGTTGCTTGGTTGCTTGCTTGGTTGCTTGCTTGGTTGCTTGCTTGGTTGCTTGGTTGCTTGCTTGGTTGCTTGCTTGCTTGGTGCTTGGTTGCTTGCTTGGTTGCTTGCTTGCTTGGTTGCTTGCTTGGCTGCTTGCTTGCTTGGTTGCTTGCTTGCTTGCTTGGTTGCTTGCTTGCTTGGTTGCTTTGTTTTGGTCGGTTCGTCGGTTGGTTGGTTGGTTTTGGTTGGCTGCTTTGTTGTTGTTGGTTGGTTTTGCTTGGTTGGTTGGTGGGTTGGGGTGGGTTGGGGTGGGTTGGGGTTGTTGGTGGTTGGTTGGTTACTGGTTGAAACAGCTCTTCGAGCTTCGTGGCTGGCTTCGCTTCCTCGGCAATGTCAGTAAGCGTCGATGGCGTTACAGCAGCCGTTGGCAGAATCGGTATAGGAGCCCGGCGATCTGGCGCATGACGGATGGGTTGAATCTGGTCCATTCACCCATACATCAAGAAAGCTGCTTCTGGGTCTGCAGGAAGAGGTGCTTGAAATGAGATTGGTGGAGTGAGCCTAGATGGCAGCATTTGCCCAGTGCATGCAATCCGAATGTAGGGTACAAGAGGCCACTTCGTCGTGGACAAGTTACGCATGCATTGAATGGACCTCTACCAACATGCAGTCATTTGCTCGAACAGCCCGCATCAGCGACGTTGTCATCGACATGCCCACAGCCTTGCACATGGCCCCTGGCGCCATGGCAGGCTATGACGAACAGAGTGACAAACTCGCCTGAAGGTACTTCAAAGTACCGTGACTGTGCCTGCAGATGTTCAGATACCTTGGAATCTGTGTTCGCCAGGTGTAGCGACGACAAAGAGGTGCCATGCCCAGCGGGGCTTGTTGCTGGGCAACCTGATGGGCGTTCTTGTCCACATGCCGCATGAGGAGCTCAACCAACCCTCAGAGGAGCTCAACGGCTTCAATATGAGAGCACACGTTCTCATGAATCTGTCCCGCATGCTCGCGCATGACAAGGAGCACACACTTTGTCGCGAGTCCTTGTTCGTCCACCTCCACAACCAGGAACCTCCAACAACTTGCAGGGTTCGGTTCATGATGATCCAGTTGACGTTCCTTCCTCCGCAGTCGAAACCGCAGACATGTTGCGAGGATTGACTTGAGACCTTGTTTCGATCTCTGCGCGGAAGGTTTGCATCGAGCCTGATGTCTGCCAGGTTTGCTCAGACATGGTTGGGTGAAGAAGCTTTTCCAAAGCTTCCAGATGCAGATGAGCAGGTTCACTCGGTCACTATCCAGGAACGCGCCCGGCTTGCTCTTCGCGGCTATTGTGCTCTTCTGTTATTCTCTCACACCAGCTCAGCATTGGAAACAAATTTCTTGAGCCTGTGTGTGGAGTCATTGTCAAGTCAATGTCAAGTAGATGTTCATAGTGCCTAACTGGCCACGGGCGCCACGGGCGTGGAGGTCTCCAATGGCCTTTCTGGGCACATGAGGTACGTATCCACCTTTTCGCACGGGTCGAGGGGTCAAAGGCAAAGCCGCTTCGTGTGCTTCGGATCCTTTGTGATGGAGCATGTCAAACCACGTTCTTCAGAAAATATATAGCCCCCATGGAAACTGGAGGGCTTGGAAGGGAACCACAATCTCTTCCTCCACCAGATGGGGAAGTGTAGCCAGCCAGTTGACATCCCATGACATCCTCCTCGAGACTCGTTGGCAGTGCCCGGCCGACTCGAGGCATCACCCCTACTGTGTCTATGGCCGTTGGGCTTGGCTGATGTACTTGGGCACGGACATCAGCAGCATGGGTGACACAGTACGGTGCCCCAGAAAACGAGCCTGGACAGGTGTGGGTGGCGCTGTTTGGTCGTTCTCAGCATTGTTTCAATGGAATCTTGGATGTGGGATGATGTGGGACATATCCAACGACAGCAAATGCATCACATTGGTTGATCCTCTAGCCCAAGGCAGTGGATTAAAACCGACTATGGACTTCCTGAGGTTAACTGTTACATTTCAGTATATACATGAGTCAACTCGGAAATGAACGTGTGTGGAAAAACCTCACAAGATCGAAGACCGATGAAGACTCCTCGTTAAGTACAACGAAGTCTTTGTTTGATGTACTTGTTGCAAGGCCACGAGGTTTTTTTGAGCTTCATGTGTCAGAGTCCAGATGAGCCCCACGCCATCCCATGCCCATACCGAATCCCGATCACCCACCGGGTGAATACCGCAGGGTTGCCGGCAGAGAGGGGTTCTATATGATGTAAAAGGATCAAGGAGTTCTCTAGCAACAGGTCTAGCTGCATGTTGCTTTCTGCAGACGTTTTGGAGTGACCCCTGACGACCTCTCCTGGTGACAGGTGCTGAGGATCTTGCAGGAAATTCCTGGTTCCTATAATGTAGCTTTCCACGCGCCTGAAATTGCCTTCCTTTTTGTATACGAAAAACCCTTCCGCCCAGGTAGCGATACTGCTCTCGGGTTGGTCCCTCTTGTGCTGCCGGGCCGTGCGATGGACGCTGGGATGATATAGCGTGAGACAGGTGATGAGTGGGGAAAGGGGACCCCCCAACTCATCTCCTTCATGGTAATTTTTAGTGGGAAATCCATGAACATCCCATGCTTTAGCCTCTTTTTTGAGAAACACCATATATCGCATATAGGTGCTAGAGACATGAGGCTGGCATGTCCGAAATTCCAACATCCAGTGTCGAGATCCAGAACTTGGATTTGAGTTGGTGCCCAAAGAGGTGCACCGACGTGGCTATAGGCTCTCTGGAAAAAAACACGTTCGCCTGTGCAGAGAAGAACCCGAGAAATAACAGGGATTGCTCAGGGGCTTGTTATTTTTGGTGTGGGATTTGCTTCAGCAGTCAGACGGATTCGCGCTTCCTTTTTGCCAATTTTGTAGCTTTGTAGCAAGACATACCAGCGGACCCACCGTCAGGGTGGTTGACGGAATTTGACGGACACCCCAAAATATCTCCAAACGGAACGGAACTGTTCATAGACACCCCACACATGTCTTCAATCAACTTGAATCGGCTCGATCCACTTCTCGCCCCTACCCCATGTGAAACACGAAGCAGGGGTTGTAGTGATACACATGTGGTCCAGGTGCATGTACACGGTGTTTTAATGTTTTTTCTATTGCAAGCGTTTGCAGCTGCAGATGTTTTCTTCAAACTTCGGGCAAGAAACAGGGGCTTATGCAATCCCACAGAATGGAACTTTGACTGCTTGACCTTGCCACCCAACTGAGTCCCCAAAGTCCCGTCTTTTCCATCTTTGCTTTCAGTGGTGGGAATACCTACCGGAGTATGGGAAAGGCTTGGAGTACCTGGGTCCCATAGAACTGGCAGGAATTGGAGCAACAGCAAACTTAGCCCTCCCGTTCCTTGGATAGTATCCATTTGGGGTGTCCTGTTACCTGTAACAGTCGGTAAACAATTATCACATACTATATTATCACTATTGTAAAGCAAGGTCTTTACTAACCATCATCATCCACTGCAGTATCCAATTCTTATGGACCTAATGGACCTAATACCAAGAATGATCACCCAAAGACCCTTCAATTCCTGCTCCCAGGAATTGGATGATCTTCTCCTTCATCCGTGTCATCGAATCCCTGGGCCGTTGGGGTCTCGGGGTGAACTTCTACGGCTTCAGCCAGGAGGCGGGGAGCGGCAGCGAGCGGCGCGTAGCTCGGCGCGCGCGCTGAGTCAGGCGGAAGGCTTTTGGTGGTTATAACTTTGTCCGCAAAAGAGGCGGGAAATCAGGGAAACCTACAGAACATGACAGGTGCTGTTGTTCTTTATATTTCTTGCAGTGACTTTGGGTCGATTTATGATTGGTTTGAACCGTTTCCACCAACTACGTCGCCAACTACATGGCGTTTAAGGAGTTTGACCAAGCCTGGAGGTGCCACGGGATGTGAAACTCATCCTTTCGGATGTGCCCCTTTGATGCGCTTCCTTGGGCGAAAAACATGCCTTTGCAGACTTGAGGAACGTTGGTCTCAAGGTCTTCTTTCTTCTCTCCAACTGACTTGTTGCCGCTTGTCCAGGAGGTCACTGCAGCAATCCTGGGATTCCTCGGACACTGCAGATAGTGTTACTTCTTTGCTGCCACAAAGATAGTGCCCTTGAGAGGCCGGTAGGAAGCGGACATGTTTTGGAATTCCCTCAGATTGGTCATCTACTGAAACTATAAAACTGTATCTGTGTTGAGTTCCAAACAGTACCATATATGAACCGCAAGTGTCCTTGGAGAAGTACTCTACTTCTGCGATGTACTGTACTGTTTCTCTCCCATTCTACTCTTACCCACTTTTCGAAGAACTTTCTCCAAGAAGGTTTAGGGACAACACTACGCCGTGTCTGGCGCCTTCAAATCCAAGACCTCCACCAGCCTGGAGCTTCTACCCAAGGGTCTGGTGGCTTCTTTTTCAGGTGCAAGAAGACCGGCGGATGATCTACGCCTTGGCGGTCTTTGGACTGGTGATTTGGGTCCTCATTGGAGCCTCTGCGAGCACTAGCTGAGCTGGTCAGGAAGGAGCTAAGGAGTTCTACGGAGATGGCAAGGGGTATGGACATCTTCCCCCTTGAAAGAGGGAGCCGTTCCGGATCTGACGTGGAGTTCCCGTTCAACAAATCAGCTGGTTCAGCCAGTTCTGCGCTCTCTCAAATCAGCTGGTGAGGTTTTTTAGAGACACGTGTGTCTTTCACCCCAAGGGCTCTCAAGCTGTTCAGGGGTATTTATTCACCACGCCCTGATGTGGGTCCCGGTGATTTCGGTGGATTTGGGCCAGTTCGCAGGTGGCGTGGATGGAGACATGTATCAGTTCGAGTGTGCCTCCATCAGTCTAAAGAGTAAACAAGAAAGGTAGCTTGTCAAGAGCTTTATGGGGAAACTGGGGAAGGCGGGAAACGACTTTGGAATGTATATAACTGATTCACTGATTGACTCAAGCGGCAAGGTTAAGGGTTCTTCAAGTCATGTCAAAAAATGATGGAACATGAGTGGAAGCTGACAATCCTTCACAGAATAAACATTCCCTCCGACTCACAAAGATTGAAAACTGCCCTGAAGCTAGTCAGCTCATATTCCCAGAGACCCTATCCACTTCCATGGAATGCAGTCAGGTAGTCTTCTTCTGAGAATCACAGATATTTTGTCTTTTCGTCATGGAATGTTTCCAATTGGAGTGAGTTAGTCTAGTGTTTCCATCGGAGTCTTTCAGCTTCCAAACTTTCCCACCATGCTATGCTCGGAAGCAAAACGAAACCCTTCCGTCGCTAGTATCGTCCTGCACCACCGATGGTCGATCGACTCCTCCTGGACGACGAGGAAGCCTCTACTACGTGGTGAACAGCACCAATTCGGCGTCGCAGTTCCGGGGACCCAGAAAAAAGAGCCTCTCCGGTGACCGGTGTTTTGTTTGACTTTGGGGGATATATACAGATGATTATAGATGATTATAGATGTGTGCACCTGCTTCGGAGAGTTTCTTTTTGAGGGGGGCCTTTTTGTTGTGTGTGTTTTTCCTGAAGGTTGGGAGGAACAGAGGGTTTTAGACATGGAGCATGGACCAACCGTACTGCCATTTCTCAACTTCTTCTCCGAAGTGGTTCCAACAGATTGTTTGGGGTCACGACCCTCGATATGCGCATTCTGGTGAGACAGATGTGTAAATTAGCTACTCAAGCTAATATGATCAACAACTCAAGATATGGTCATAAGGAGGTCAGCTTGAAGGTTCCCCCTGCCTGGCAGTGGAAGATCACACTTTGACTGAGCTGACCCATCAAAGCTTTGTACCCATTGTGATTTCTGATGCAAGAACACTCTCACTATGATATGAAGTTGTCTTAATTCTTTCGGACGCACAGTGAAGCGTGGCAAGCCTTTGACTCACATGCAGGCCACGCACGCAGGATGCACAAGTCCACTTTGAGTGCACACAGATCATTACGATCTCAGTGATTTTTCCCTTGTTTTACCAGAACTTTGGATAGCCTTACCCTTCTGAGCATTTTAGCTCGACCTGGATTTCATCGCTCATCTATGTAGGTCGAAGGTCCCTTGGTTCCATGTCAATGACCAATATATCGTCTAACACTCCATGTCTTGAATATTTACCTACACTGGCCTCTGAAACCACTGCAATGTGTGTAATCCCTTCCTCCTAATAATAAACACGGCCCCCCCCCTATTTAAAAAAACCTCGGTCGCATTTTTTCTAATAGGGGGTCCCTGAAATCGGGGGGGGCCCAAAATAGGGTCACCTGGAAAGAGTTTCGAAACCACAAAGTAATCCAGGAAAATTTTATATAAAATCCTTTATTAAACTCGTATCAAAAATGCAAAAAACCGCCAGATCGAAGGGTCTTCCTTTTCCCCTACAAAAACCTTCATTAGAATAGTGATTCTTCAGTAGACTAACAGCTAAAGCTTTCGAAAGGTGATGTTGCTGTGCCATGCGGTGTTGCATGACCTCGGTGGCAAGTGCGTTTGCGTGAGTCCGTGCCATTGAGGGAAGGAAAGCCTGCTGGTGTAAGCGCGGCGTGTCATGGTGGAGTTTTGGGGAACCTAATTAACAAACTACCCCCAAAATCGACCATGTTGGTAGTTTAGTAGCGGCGTGAAAGGGCGGCAATTTAAAACCAAATATAAACCGAATTTAGGGATTCGGACGTGGTGTTTTTTAATTGGGGAGTGTTTATTAATAGGTACTCGGGATTAAACATGTCAGGCCCATGGAGTGTCTGGAATAGTGAATAGTGTAATTTGTGCTTTCGCGTGGTTTTTCTTGGGTGTTTGGGGTACTCAAACTCGACATTGGTCCATGTGAGTCTTTAAGATCCACGCAGTCCAAAAGACGAGGAAGTACACATGATGATGAAGGGCCGGGTGGTCATGTTTTTTATATAGGTTATATTTATGTATATATTTCTTTAACAATTGAATAACTCAGACAGGTGGCTGCGAATGATGTGCAACCAAGAACATTTTATGCCAAATTAGCGATAGCAAGATTTGGGTTTGGTATTCTTCATGTATTCTTTGTAATGATGTTTCAATTTAATGCAGTTGCCAGAACCATACTTTTTTCATTTGGAATCAACCCCCCTTTCACCAACCCTCTCACTCATTCAAAAAATAGAACACGCGGACACGCACCTCAACAGCTTGGTGTTTCCCAGGTGGGAATATGTGGGCGTCATCAAGTACACCGACGGTGCGCCCCGAACGGACACCGCACCGCACACAAAGCGAGCCCGCCTAGCGCGACCGTGAGCATTGTTTCGGAGCGGATGGAAGGATGCGTTTTTGGAACGAAAGCAAGGAATCTTTGGGGCCCAGTCAGGACCTGTGGTTGATTGCGGTTGTGTTCATCTCCCGCTCTTGATCATGGTTCCTACTTGTCCAAATGAGGTTTTGACCATCGCAGCACTCTGTTGTGGTGGCTTTATCAGATGTATCATCCTCATTAAGTATTTTGAGTATATTTTTTGGCGAAACGTTGGAGTCTTATTATTTTCTTTTCCTTTTTGCCCTCCTTTGTTTTGCATCCAATGTGGCCCCTGTCGTAAATGTATAGCTAGCAGCTAGCCTGTATGAGTGGGTTCAGATCTGCCAGTGTTGCCGAGTGTATGAGTTTCGCAACGTTGAACTTGGACAGGTACCCTCCCTCCAACTCCCTCTTGGTACAGGGGCCATACCATCCACGTAACCATGATTGTTGGAGGGGGACTAGGACTTGGAGGTGCACCCAGAATGTTCAACCCTGAAGCACTGCAGAACCTGCGGTTTTCGACAGAACCGAAGCGAACCGGTCGATGACACCCTCGCTGTCCCCCAAAAAGACCACTTGGAAGGCTGGAAGAATCACCCCCTTCCACACAGAGTGGTGAAACCAGGTAGACCGGCCTACAACAGCTTAGCTTGGTGCCACCTGGTCGAGATCAACATGATACGAAGACAAAAGCCAAACTCTCCATGTATGGGATGCGTGTCCAATACAATTGACCCCTGAAACGAAAAACTCCGCAAACATGCCAGTCCCATGGAGTTTACGGACCTCACCCTAAGGTAGACACTCTGTGAACATGAATTGAATCTTCCCACTTCCCTCCAGTAGTGAAGAGGTTGTTCAAGTCGATGTTTGTTATCTTTTTTTGAACATCACATTGTCCACATCACGTCGGAACACTGAAGGGACCCCCACTCAATGCTGTTCGCACGGCACGGGAGACCACGGTTTTCGTTCTGTTTCTCCTCGGTGGTGTTGATGTCCGTGTTTTCTCCGTGTGGCCAGGCGTGAAGACGCAGTCCCAGTGGCAACGCTTCGAATCGCCCTCCGGCCGTTGGGAACCGGACGCGTCGGGTCCGTCACGTCGGACGGGGGCTGATGGCTCCAGGTGTTGGGGAGGAGAGGTTTCTTCTCCGTGCTGGAGGGGGTGGGCACCTGCAATTTCTGAAGATTATCTTGGAAGTGGAGTTCACCACTACCACCTGGTTGGTCTTCAGATTTCATGGTCATCCGAACTCGAGGTCATGTTCCACTTCCATGATTTCAGGGAGTGTACTCAGTAGAATCCTCAGGCCCCGACTTTCGGGGGCCTTTTGGGCCCTCCCAAAGCCTTTGTGTATTTTGTGTTGGTGATGTGTTTAGAGAATGGGTCCTCTCACCTCACCGGTGATTTTTTTGTTTGCATGCATCCAAGCGCTGGTAGTTTAACTCGGTCTCCTGGCTCCTGGTAGAGTATTCTTGGTTTTGCGTAGGGTGTGGTTTCTTTCCTATGGGTGAATCTTCTTCTGGGAACAACTTTTTTCCCCGTTCCTTAAGCAAATCCTGGAAGATCTACAGCTTCGCATGCACAGCAGTCTCGACATCTCAGATCACCCGGGATTCACTCTTGCTTAATAAAACCCCCGTGTATGAAGAGGAGTTGCACTTCAAGTGTTGCGATCAAAGAAGAGTCTACATGGTTTGTGGCAGTTGTGGGCGAAAGTTTAGTTGACCATCCTATATCCTTAGCCTTAGCCTTAACATACAGGCATTGGTCCAGGAGTTCCATGTTGGGGTGGTGTTTCCTGGCAAAAGGTACAACCACCATGACTATCCCACCGGGTGTCCAATGGACTACTCTACACTACTTGGGGATCTTGGTTGGACATCCTGGCAGGATGGTCCAGAGTCAAGGTTAATATCTATAATTAAATATGCTAATTCTACATATTTTTTAATCTGTATAAATGTGGCAACCCTATAATCCCGGGTGATCCCAGAACATGAGCAGATTCCTCTATGCTCGGGATGTCAACCTTTCATGGTTTGTTAGGGTTTCTAGGGGACTGCGTTTGCAGACAATGTCATAACATCTCCGGCTGCAAATAGCATTTCAATGGGTCACTCCAATACCATTTCTCGTGCCTGGCATATCTTGAGCTCCGATGGCCTGGAGTCTCCGAGCCGGACGGGCGACGTGTCGCGCCAACGGGACGCTTTCTTCGCCCGCGGACGGTCGCGCCGTCCGAGGATCCCATCGTCCATGTTCTTTGCGCTGCTGACCTTGAACAAGAAGAACCCCTTGGCCCATGTGGCTCAGAAAGAAGCCACCGGTCGGTTGGATGCCGGTGGCGAGACCACCGGTGCCTATAGCTTTTGCATGCTTTAGCCTCTCCACAGCAGGCAAGTGGATCAAGATTGTCATATTCCAGGATCGCCAGAGAAAGGACACTTTTCACTTGGAACAGGTCTCAGTTCGCATGCGACTTTGATTGCATGACTGCACCTCAAAGATGTTGTTCATAATGCTATTATCGACTGGATTTAGGAGGTCTCCCATGTGACTCTGGACCCAAAAAAGGGCAGGGTTGGACAGTCGGGGTCTGAAATGTTCAGGTTTTGAAGTCTCTATAAGGGTTGTTCGGAGCACATGTGTGCGCAAAATTAACAATTGCTATTGACTATTATAGTGTCTGTGCGAATGCTGCATGGGTTTGAGGTAAATAAGGCTTTGCACATTTTGTCCTCTGCTTGGGATGGTCTTTCTTGAAGGGTTCCACAATTGGAGCTATTCCAAAACCACGTGGATTTTCCCTTGTTAAAACCACGTGGTTAAGACCGTTGAGAAGGTGATTCTTTTCCAAGGGCAGAGTTCGGGAACATGTAGTTTCATGCCACCTAGGAAACGGCCGGCTTGGCCGTCTTCAACCAGCAGCCCTCGTTTCGCACGCCCAGCCAGTGTGGTCATTCCACGTGGTCTAAGGTCTTTGTGACTTGGTATGAGAAGCTCTTGGTCATCTTCGTCAACATTTGCTGTGCCCGGGACGCCCAGGGTGGAAGCGCATGCGTGGTCACTTGGGCCTCCTTGATGCTGACATCCACCCGGATCATCCTGACACACTGCATATATATATATATACACACACCTAATTATAGTTTATATTAATACCTTATAGTTTTTACCATCAGAACATTCAGCCTGTCACACTCACCACTGCCCACTGCAGCTCGTCCTCTTCATCCTGATTTCGTTCGACCCTTTCGACTCGAGCACCGAAGGTGCCGCTCTTCTCGCTGGTCTCCAGCATGCATCTTGGACGCAAATCCAGGTCGATCCAGAAGGCACTGAGCACCGCATCAACATGCCGTTCTTGATGAACATACAAAAGAGAAGTGCAGAACAGATACCTATGACATCCTATGACTCTATGACATCCTATGACTGGACTGGAATACACATTTATGGATACTGGCTATTAATATTGTGGTTTAACTTCAATACTGTCAGATGACATCTGGATTGGAAATGATTCTTTGTCGGTTGGAATGCTGGTGATATTCTCTGGAGTTTTGTATCGGAAAGTTGTAGAAACACCACCTGAGCAATTTGCCTCTACCTGAATCTCTTTCGAGCCCGATTTCGGCCTGATAGGCGCAACATCGTAGACGTCGTAGAAATGGTCAACAGATGTGCATGACTGCATGACGGTTGCTACCACCACCAGATTTTAGTATAGTCGTAAAGCACTGTAGATCACTGTCAGGATATTGAATCGATCCATACAGTGGTTCACAGCCAACATGTACTAATCCATGTCTTTTCAATCATTTGTTCAATGTAGATCCGCCCTGAATCACTTCACCTTCCGCATCGGATTCCGACGAACCGCGGATTCGGAACACTCGGATTCCGAACTGGGATCGGTCGGACGTGAGGATTGGAGGTAGCATTATGAAGCTGGTGCTCAGTGAGGTGCAACCATTCCGCCGGTGTCGATTTCGGTGGTGCAGTCGTGTAGGAAGGTGCAAGTGTGTCGGTGCAGTTGTATACTACGAAGATGCGACATGGACGCCTTGTATGTTCTTTGTTTTCACCAGTTCTACCAGCTCAACTTGGGACTGAAATTCACCTAAGCCTTGGATTCCAAACATTGAAACAGGACCTCCATCTCTAGATGGACAGTTTCCAAGACATTGAAACGATAACGATTAACAACGCTTTCACGACAGACAGATTTTGCAAAGGAGTCCTGTGACCTCCATCTCTAGGAGTCGCTGACACGGACACGAGTTGGACAGTCTTCTTTTGTCTTCGAACACACCCTTCTTTGTGCAAGTTTTTTTTTGAGGCTTGTGAGCCAGCCATGGTTCCTGGACCATCTGGCAGCCATAAACCGGCAGTATTTCGTACACAAAGGGGGGGTGACTCATGAGTCCAGGATGGTCCAGGTCCACAGTCACCGAAGGTCACTCGAGCGGAGCATAGAGTGTCGGTCATCCGTCAGTTCCGGTCACGGCGATGTCCTTCGTCTCCGATTGCAGAAGCCCAGTGGATCAGGGGACCAACGGAGAAAGCTGATTGACTTTGGGGGCCTCCATGACGAGTGGATCTGATAGTTTTTTTTGCAGTCAATATAGCATCTATTTGTCTGATTACACCACCAACTGCCAACTTCTCGACATGCGAACCTACAAACTCACAGAACAATCAAAGACTACGGTACAGTGGTCAGTCTTAATGTCTATATATTTATGTGATTTTATGTGTGTTTAACCTACACAAAACAAGCTTCCATTCTTCTTTCACGGGTCCCCGAACCCCCCGACTAGACCGCTCGTAGGCCCCGCCCGCGGAGGGCGCGCGCGAGCAGCCCAGCGAGGTCGGTGCGACGAAACGGGTTTTGGACGGGGAGCGGGGACCCTTTGGGGTTCGAAAGCGTAATGTAGAGTCTTAGTAATAAACAATACGACACCCCAGACATGGATTGAAGATGATTGAACAACCTCTTCACTAGTTGGGGGGGATTGGGGGGGTTAGTAACAGTTAGTATTCGTCAAGAGTCTACATTAATTAGTGAAGATTAAAGAGGCCCCAGGCTCCAGGCACAATGAGCACTGTGCTGACATTGCTCACTTCATGGTCTTTGTATGGCTATAATCAACCTTTTGCATGGCTCTTCCAAAAGAAGTTCCAGGCTGAAGGTCATACTATGTCGAACTGCTTGGTGACTTTGGTGTCATGACTGTTGTATATTGGCTATAGGTCTTCCATGGCCAAACGACCATCATGACCAAGTGGAACTTTCATTTGTGGTGGGTTATGATGGTCTTTTCGTCGATTCCCAAGGCCGAAGAACACCTTCTGCCGCCAAACGCGCATTCATTTGCGGAAAGTTTCATCTTCACAGTCCGGACCACTCAAAACCAAGCCAGATTGTTTTTTTTTTTTTTTTTTTTTTTTTTTATCCGGCGGTTTACTGATATTTGGTGTGCTTTGAACATACAAGCCCCGAAGGCCCTGGGCTGATAAGCTGGTGATGCGGATGACGAACGTGCTTGGCGTGTTTGGGGTAGGATACACATGTGACTCCTGGTAATAGTCGGATACAGTCGGTAAACTATTTTAGAGAAAGGCCTGCAACTGAACCATCATCTGGGCCCAGGGCGTCTGGGATATACGGATAGACCCTCACAGTGGTTGCGGGCTCCTTTGCCATCTCGAGTCGCCTCTGCAGTCTCTGCAGATCGCCCCTGCTATCCGCTGCTCAAACTGCTTCAGCATGACGAGATGCAACAACTCGTGGTGAAATTCCATGTTCACCATGGTCTCATGAGAAAGCTTGATGTAGAGGAGGATCTGAAGAAACCTCAGGTCTTCAACAAACAACATGTAATAAAAGAGTCCTCTAATATCCTCTAATTATACATTCCAAGCAGTTCCAAAGGGGTGCCGAACTTGGAGGAAGTCGGGGTTTGCATGGTCCACTATGATCCACTCACTGGACGGGACTAAAAACCACCCATACACATGTGACTCCTGGTTGATGTTTCTACGACCTTTTTGTGCCTAAAAACACGGTTTTCGAACCGTTAGCCGGACAACCGAACTGCGACTGTGAGGCGGCGGGTGATGAAGTTGCAGAATTGGAGGATGACGAGGATGACACCGCCGATGGGGCAGATGATGTGGAAGATCCAGATGGAGGTTTTTTGTTGGCTGCTATAGATGGCCCCCCACGCATGAATGTGTCTGAGTAAGGAAACAGTCGTTGTTTAGGGCCCTCAAAGATTGAATGTTTGGGCATGTTTGGGCAGTTCCTGGTAAAGAAGGCGATGGATAGATTTTAATTGTAATACATGAACTGAGAGTCAAAGACACTGAACACATGCTCAAGAAACATCCCGGTCCTACTGGACTGGACTGTTCTGCAACATTGTGTTCATTTTGGGAGTTGACCCACAGCCAAATATGTCAAGTGACCCAAACGTACATCGCCGAAGGAGGAAGAAGAAGAGGAGGAGGAGGAGGTGGAGGAAGAGCAGCTTGCCGCACTGGTCTGATTGACTGTGTGATCGAACATTTTGGGTGGAGGAGGAGGAGGAAACTGGAGAGTGTGCTGTGGTTGGTTGGGAGAATCCTCCCAAGACCAGTCAAAAAGTACGCTCTGGAAGATTCACATGCAACCTGAAAACCACTGCTGCAGCTGGAGGAAGCGGGTCTCTTCCACGGATCCATGCCATCAGGTTCCATGCGGGTCTCTTCCAGGGTGTATTCTCTTGTGGTTGCTCTTGCACTACGCTGCAGGGCCAAAGTGAGAGTTTCGCGCAAAAAGCGCCCTTCGGATCTGATCCGGTGGCCCGTCAAGTTGAGACAGTTCACGCACGTGGTCGTAATGGTGAAGCATTTGGTGTGCCTTGCGCAAGGTCCAACCATCATGTTTTTCTTTTGGTATTTTGGAGTGCATTTCTCTCTGAGCTAAAAACAATTCTTCACCTCTTCCCTGACGCTTTTAGTGTAGGTCGCTCCACGATGTCCGCTCGGTCCCTGTTGCTGGGACCCGCGTCCTCCGAGTGGATGGTCATCCGTCCTCCGAGTCTGCGGGGCCATGCCATCCACGTGTCCATACGTTTCCTGATCCATTATTTCAGGGAGTGTACCCAGGAAGTGGGTGGATCAACTGCAGGTCACCGGGGGATTGGGGGGGGAATTGGAGGTGCTGGATGGTGCTGGGGGCACCTCCACGACCTGGAAACGAATAGAGTAGGTGGAAAGGAACCCTTAGAGGTCTGTGGTCTCTTTTCACGATCGCATGAATGGTGGCAAGTCGGTGGAGTTTGAAGGTTGCAGGAAATGCCTCAAATCGGGTCACCTATAGTCAGACCATTCTTTTTATGGTCTTTGATTCCCAGGGTGTTATATTTGGTACCGAAGTACCTGGCACCAATCCCCTCTATGATTCCCATTTCGCTTGGAAAACATCTTCCCCTTCAGTCACGCGCCCATCTGAGGGTGGCGGAAGATGCGCCCCCCTTCGGCGGAGGTGCCACTGTGGCAGCAGTGGAAGGACGGAGACGGAGAGACTGGGTTGGCGGCCGTAGAGACCTGGGGAACTTCTTTTTCGGATTTGACCACACTCTTGGCTCCAATTCCGTGGTGATTGAGTCTGGTTGATGCTTCTATGACCGCCCGTGCCTAAAAGCACGTTTCTCGAACCGAACGAGGGATGAAGGGTGATGAAGTTGCAAAGTTGGAACAAGTTTCATTTGGATGAATCATGACCAAGTCCACTTTTGCACAGAAACCTCAAACGGTTTCTCTTTTGAATTACTAACATGATATCACCAGCACCACCCAGTTCGGGGTGGCTTATAGACCCCCCTGAAGATGTACGTTCCATCTATAATAACCACCCGAAATGGGTGGTGCTGGTATGATTCATCCAAATTCCCTGACCAGTCAGAGCCTGGCCGCTTGGCCGCCACTATGTCGATGAAGACTCTTTGGACTCGTAAGCTTGCGAGAGCAGTGCTGCGTCCGGACCCTGAAATGGAGGCTCCGGACCCTTAGCTATGAAGGTTCCAAGGAGTCTTTGAGTGATATCTATTCCCAATCAATCTGCGCAGCGGAAGTTTGAACTTGCAGCTCGAAAGCGTTTGAAAACTGGCTTTTAATGCCGGAGAAGTTAAGTTATGCATGACAGTTCTGGTGGTGGATTTTGTCCATCAGTCCTAGGTGAGCACTGGCCAAATTCACCATATTTTGTAGCTATCTTTGGGTCTTTTCTTTGGCCACAATCACCCCCTTGGGTGTTCCGAGATTTTTTGACCTCAGCTGCCAGCTGTATGCTTGTGTTTCTTCACGCGGCGTGGGCGTGCCGCGTGGGAGGATTTCTATCAATCCTTGACCTGGGAGCAGCATTGGCATCCAGACACTTGGCGGATTCCTTCGACTGTTGACTGTTGATCAATCCCACTCTCCGACTAGACTGGCTTTACATCATTTTACATATTATATATGGGGGGACGTTTTCTTAATCCGCACGCACAGCCAGAGCGCGGTCTGGTCCCTGGTTCGCCGAGTTCGGCCATGAGTGGTCCTAATTCGATGAATCATTTGTGGTGGTCCTTCTTGGGGCCAATCCCTCCTTCATTTTGCCATCGGCTTTCACAGAAAGAAGCACCCGCGGACAAACAGCTGTAGTAGATCACAACTATTGGTTGGGTAAGAACATGCAAGAACTGAGAATTCAGTCTACTACTGGTTGGTAACACGTAAAAACTGCTGGTTGGTTGGGTAACTAAACCCCACGGCTCATAGACGGCCGTTGGTTTTTTTGAGCCGTCACAGACGTCGTAAACCCTTAGCCCGACTGGGTTGATGATCTTTGAAACATCCGTCCGTTTCTCCATTTTGCTGGCGCATCATGGCCACGACTTTGAGGCGGTGATGGCACTGCTGGGCTTTGGCTCGGTTTTCTGCTACGGCTTGAGCACCTCGAAACGTGAGATGAAGTGGGGAGGCCCAGCTGGCTGAAAAAAAAGACACATATAAAATGCCATATTTTGTGTGGTCGGTGGCCTAGAATATATACAGGTCACTCAGGTTGTAGGTCGTAGGTGTATATTGTTATATTGCCTAGCCTATAGTACATTATTGATCTAGCGTGTGTCCCATTAAGAGTCTATAGAATACTATCATCATTTATTCTACATAGCATTATTTATTCTACAGGCCTTTGCCAATCAACATCATCATCATCATCATCATCATCAACATCCACTGTAAGTCGTAATGAGATATACCTAACATTGACCCCCTAAACCATCCCAATGTGGAAAAAATACGGCAGTCATGAGATCATATATGCCACATACAATATGCCTATACATCCCCTGGAACCACTCGAATGTGGAGTGTGAGGACACGTGATGCCCCATTTCGCCGGCAAATCGCGGCGAAGCGCGAAGCGCTGTGTTTTCTTTCTTTTGCACCCCAGGAAACCATGTCAGAATCGATGTGGGTCGGTTTTGGGGCGGATGTCCAGTGAAATTCTGGGTGGTGGTTTCAGGTTTTTGTTGTTTTCAATCTTTACATGGGATGATTGATTCCACTTTAATTAATATGTTTCAAGTGAGTTGACACAATCAACACAAAATTGGCAGCTTCTGCTGACGACGATTCCTGCATGGGTATCATCAAGTTTCAGCGCATTCTGTCCACCGTCATGATTCTTCGGTTGATGCCGATGTTCACAAACAGTTGCTGGGTGGGTCGATGTTTACCATCACTCAGTCAAGGCTCATTGAACAGCAAGAATGATATTTCATCATCATCATAACAAAGAATCATCATTGCTCACGCTTATATATCCACCATATATTTGTCCTGTCGATCCATCATTCACCTCATCACTCACTATTGGAAGTATGAAGAAATAATGTTAATCTCTTGTGTCGGTTGCACCTAGAGGCCCCCCCGGCCCTTAAGCGGTAAGCCCGGTAAGTTCTAAGATCAGCATGATTTTTCCTCGTGATTCCTCTTTAGCAACGTCTCTGAAGCACGTGATTCCTCTTTGGTGCCAGTGAAGCACCGGTGGAAGCACCGGCTTCCGAGCGACGGTCATGAGTTATGCTCCAGACATCTGTAGACCGTGTTCCTGAAGCAATTACACTCCCCGAGTCAACTAACATAGACCCTGACTGTCTGGCCCCCTGGAAGAGTGTTTTCCTCTACCAACCAGTGGTTATCAGGGTCCATGGGATCGTCTTCCAGGGTGTAATCATGAAAGTGAAGTGATGGCACCACCTGCTTGGTATTCGGATTTCATGGCCATGCCATCCGCGTGACCATGTGTTTTTTCTGTTCAGGAAGTTTGCATTCTGAAGATCTTGAATCCCCGAACAGAGTTTCTGATTGATTTGGGTTAATTGATATGAACAAGGTCCTTGACTAGCGTCAAAAGAAGGTTATAGCCTCTTGTTGATTTGGCTCCAACCAACCACCAGCCAACAAATACAACTCTCTTTCTCCAAATTTTTAACGCTTCCCTCCCTCCCTCCCTCCCTCCCTCCCTCCCTCCACTTCTCACGGCGAACTGATTGCAGGTGGCTCTTCTTTACGGTCCACAAGTTGCCTCACTGGGCCTTCCCTGCCGTCGACGGCGTCGTGGGGGCGCTGTTCCTGGCAGATTGGCCACTGGTCTGCGATGCTGTGGGCTGAGTCCTTGGGATCAAACCCTAACACCGCGGAGTGACGATATACCAGGGTATACCAGCACCACACAAAGAGTGGTTATCAAAGATGGAACATACATCTTCAGAGGGGTCTATACACATCTATACACCACCCGAACTGGGTGGTGCAGGTATATGGCTGTGTAGTTCAACTATAGGGAGGACCTTCCCAGGCAACGAGCTGCTGGAAGGTTCGGACTAGAGACCAGTGAACCGCTTGGGCCATGTTCATCCCGTGTCAAAACGTCACTGTATATCGACTAGGCCACGTCTTGCGGTATTGGCGGCCACCGCTCCAGCGGCTCTTGGAAGGAGCCCCTTTTTTTTGAGCAAACAGATGTGTTGTGATGAGTCTGTCGGAGAACCTTGCTGATCTTATTCATTTGGGGAGTTCATAGTTCGTAACCAGGAAAAAGATGGAGCAACTATACTCATACTCTGCTGTGGGTGCATTCCCACCTGCATGGGAAGTGGGGGGGATGAAGAATTCCTTTGGTTCCTATCTCTTCTGCCTTATAGACAGA